AGGTGGTGGCTGGACCTGGCAGGCCGGCCAGACCAGCAGGGCCTGGTGCCCCACCCCAGGCGCCCCTCAGCCACGAGGTGTCCTGGGCGTCCTTCCTGCCCCAGGCTCCTGGGACGGGCTGGGCAACAACGGGCGCTTTGTTCTGCTGGCTCCTGGGCTCCCCGCGGTCAGGGAAGGCCAGGAAGTGGGGCTACACCCCCCCGCCCCGCCCCGTGGACAAAGGACCTCAGGGTCCAGGTGGGGTCCTTTTTTGGGGATCCACCTGTCCAGGCCACACAGGCTCCCCCTGCCTTCATTTTAACCCCTCCCCCTTGGCCTGCACTGCAATGGGGGGCCTAACCTCGCAGACGGGCCACCCCAGGTCTCCTTTCATAGGGGAAAAAATAGGTTGAAAGACCCCCAGTTAGACCAAGGCTTGGGGGTGTGTAAGGAGGGCCCGCTACCAGGGGCTCCCACTTGGGTACTGCTCATTTGCTGGGGTGAGGTTGGGGTGTGGCCTCTGCACCCCCTCTGGCCACGCCCCTCCCCTCCCACCTGCCCTGGGGAGCCTCCCTCGGGGTGGCAGCTCGGGCCTGGGTTGGGCAGTGCAGCGAGGGACACTGGAGGGAGGGACAGTGAGGGCGACAGCCCGGAGTGTACACCTCCCTTGGGCCGGCCAGAAGCCCCTGACCACAGCCAGGAACCTACAGAGCTGCTGCTTGGGGCCCCAGAGGGCCTCTAGCTCCAGCCCCTCAGCAGGAAGGGGGCTCCTCTCGGGAAGCCCCCAAGGCCTCCCTGAGCCTGTGCAGCCCGTGCCCTGGCCCTGGCCTTGACCCTCCCAGATGCCTGAGTGGACGTGGGGGACTAAGGGCCTGACAGGCCAGGTGGGAGTCCTTTCTCATTATGTACCTGGGAACCACTGGGTGTCCCAGCCGCCAGCTCCATGATGGACAGCCCGGGGCCAGTCCCCGTGTGTCTGACCCTGCTGGTCCCTGGAGCTGACCATGGCCAGCAGGCTTCTGTCCGCTCCCGTCCCCCGCAGCGATGTTCCCTGGGGAGGGGACGGAATGAGGACCCCATCCTGGGTCCCCAAGCTTTGAGGCTCTGGCTGCTGTGGGGAGGGGGTCAGGGCGCTGGGGCTGGGATGGCGCCTCTGGACGTGGGAGGACCAGCCTGGCCAGGAGATGGACGGGCAGCCAGGTCAGGTCACGCTGGGAGAGGCAGAGCCAACAGAGACACACTGCTCAGCCTCCAGTCCTGTGGCCAGCCCCGTCCTGTGGCCAGCCCCGGTCCTGTGGCCCGTCCCATCCTGTGGCCCGCCCTGGGCTGTCTCGCGGCCAGCAGGATGGGGCTGTGCGTGGAGTCTGCCTCTTTATTTCTTGTGCTTGGTAGCGTTTGTACACGCGTGGTGAGGTGACAGGAAGCCGATTTATTCTGCGGTGTACTCTCCTGCTACCCGGCCTGGGTCAGGCGTGGAGTGGCCTGCAGCCCCGCAGCACACGCCTCTGCCACACCGAGCCTGCACTGGCCTCCTCCCTGCCACCCCGGGCGAGGGCACAGTGCCCGGGTTTCCCAGGCGCTCCAGTGCTGCCAACCTGCCCTGCAGACACACTGGTCAGGCCTTGCACTGCCAGCAGCTTGGGGCACCCAGCATCCAGAGCCCTGCACATGAGCCGTGTCAGGCCCTGGTCTGTGTCCGCGGGAAGCCAGGAACAGGGCTGCTGTGTAGGAGGCCCAGGGGCCCAGGTGCTCGGGCTGTCTTCTACTAGCTTTCTGGCTGCACCTGGCGGCGAACTGGCCCCAGGGCCCACGTGGCCTGAAGCCAGGCTCCTGGTTGTCCCCTGTGCGCCTGCTTGTCCCTGTTTGTGGGCTGTGGGTGGCGTGCCCGGTTGGGGCATCTGCTTCTGACTTCTTGGTCCTATGGGGCCTTGGGAGCTGGTGAGGGAATTGGGTGTGGGGGCCAAGTAGCCATTCAGCCCTGCCCCTGGCTGTGACCAGTGTTCCTCATGTGCCCAGGTGCCCTGGTAGTGGGAGGGGTGGGCAGGGATGCTGTAGCAAGACCGCAGCACCTGAGGGGCCCCATTCTGCGACGGGCAGCCACTCTTGAGTTCGCCACGGTTGCACCTGTGCCACAGTGCCAGCTTACACTGGTTCCAGAAACAGGACATGTCCTTCCGGGTCCCTGAGCCAGGAGTGCCCAGAGGCCAGCTCAGCCCCACAGAGACCAGACGGGCTGGCAAGGGGCAGTCGGTGTCGGTGCGGACAGAGTTTCGGTTTGGGATGATGAAGGTGGCGTTGATGTGCGGAGGGGTGCTGGTGTCCCTGAGCTGGGTCCGCTCTGGTCCGTACAGGTGCACCCCTCCCCCAGCTACCAGGGGCACAGGTGCAATGGGGCCCCCTCCTCTCTTGAGGGAACATGCCACCCCTCCTGCTGCCAGGTGCCCTCGGGGCAGAGCAGGGGCTGGGCAGAGAGGACCAGGCCTTCTGGCCAGCTGGCGTGGGGCGAGGCCGAGCCGGGGGACCGCTGCCCCTGCTCACTGGGCCGTCTCTCTCGGCAGCATCATCAGCTGGTTCGTGCGGACCTTCAAGTACGCGTATGGCCTGCGCTTTGAGGTCAGGGGCCGGCCCAAGCTGGACGTCGACCAGCCCTGCGTCATCATCTCCAACCACCAGAGCATCCTGGACATGATGGGTGAGCCGGGGGCCGGGGTGGAGGCTGCGACGCGGAGCGGGATGGCCGCTGCTGCCCTTCCGCCTTCACACACTGGACAAGGAGCAAGGAGGCCTGGCGGGCACCGTCCTGGCTCAGCCAGCAGGGAGGGTGGGAGCTGGGGCTCGTGGCTGGCTGGGAGGGTCTCTGGCCGCTCAGGGCGGGCGCCCTGACGTGCCCCTCTCCCTGGCCGCTCGGGGCGGGCGCCCTGACGTGCCCCTCTCCCCGTCTTCCGCAGGCCTCATGGAGGTCCTGCCGCGACGCTGTGTGCAGGTGGCCAAGCGGGAGCTGCTGTTCCTGGGCCCCGTGGGCCTCGTCATGTACCTGGGCGGTGTGTTCTTCATCAGCCGACAGCAGTCCAGCACTGCCATAAGTGTGATGGCCGACCTGAGCGAGCGCATGGTCCGGGAGAACGTACGTGCCTGGGCCGGGCTGGGCCACGCAGGGTGTGGGTGGGAGTGTCCTCCAGGCCATGTGAGCCGTGGGGGTCTCACGTGCCCGATTCGCCCCCCACGCAGCTCAAAGTATGGATCTACCCTGAGGGCACGCGCAACACCAATGGTGACCTGCTGCCCTTCAAGAAAGGTGCCTTCCACCTGGCCATCCAGGCCCAGGTAGGCACGGACCTCCCGCCCTGTAGACCTTGCACCCCGGCCCCTGCGTCCCAGGGGATAGTGGGGACCTGGTGACACGTGGGAGCAGGGCTCCGGCGGAGAGCCTTGGGCCCTGCCTCTGGACTTTGAACTTGTCGGGTTGCTTCTGGGGTGCCCAGGGAAGGGGGTGATGGGGGAACCTGCCCTGCCCCTTCCGGTCCCTCCCAGCGGGGCCCGGGGTGTCAGCCTGGGTCTGGTGGGCTACAGCGCCCCCTGGTGCATGACTCTGCAGGGGCGAGAACCCAGGGGGCTCCCAGCGCCAGCCCCCTCTGGGCCTCCAGCCCTCCCCCCTTTGCTGGTGGCGATGCTGTCCCCTCCTCCAGGGCGCCCAACAGCCCTGGTTAATCATTACCCAGGCACCCTCTGATCGCCAGCATGCCCTGCCCATCCCCCTCCCCTGGCAGGGGCGTGGTGCCACCCCCAACCCCCCGGAAACTGCCCTCGGTGGGTGCTGTGGTGTGCACAGCCCAGGAAAGCTGCGTGGGCAAAGTGTGTGTGTGTGTATGTGTGTGTGTGTGAAGACCTGCCGTACTTGGGGGCATGGCAGGTGGCCGAGGCCCAGGTGGGAGGCCTGAGCAGGCACCCACGGGACGGGGCCGGCCGCGGAGCCAGGTAGACCCTCAGCCGCCCGGTCCTCGCCCCCAGGTGCCCATCATTCCCGTGGTCTACTCCTCCTTCGCCTCCTTCTATAACATCGACACGAAGCTTTTCACCTCAGGTAACGCCCGCCCGTGCACGCGGCCAGGGTCAGCCCTCCGGGTGCGTGCTCCCCACGTGGGGCAGGGCGAACCCCAGGAGCACAGGCCTCGGCCCCCCATCCTGCCCTGGCTCTGAGCAGGCAGGAGACAAGCTCCGTCACCCAGCTCTGAGACACACCCCCAGGGAGGCCGGAGGTGGGCAGGGCCGAGGGACCCCAACTGTCGATGCCCCCTCAGGAATCATCAGGGTGGAGGTACTGGACGCCGTGCCCACCCACGGCCTCACCGTGGCCGACGTCCCCCGGCTGATGGACACCTGCCACCAGGCCATGAGGAGTACCTTTCTGCGCATGTCCAAGCCGGCCCCAGAGAACGGGGTGGCCGAGGGGCCTGCTGCTCAGTAGCCCGGTCCACAGCTGGGGCAGGCGGGGGGCAGAGGATGGACAGAGGGGACCCCCCAGCTGCCAAATATCACTGTGTCCACCCTCCCCTGCTCCTGGCTTTCCTTCGGAGCCCCTCAGGCCCAGTTGCCCGGGTCAGCCCCTCCACAGCCTCCTGGGCCAATGGAGCAGGTGGACACTGCCAGGCTGAGGCCCCATGCCCGTGAGGGACTCCGGGCCTTGCTGGGGCAGTGGGGGGCCCATGGGTATTTTTTTTTATAAAGGAAATCTTGAAAGTCAATGAAGAGCTGTGGTCACTGAGTGGCAGGGCTGCCTCTGGCCTGGGGCGCAGGGGTGGTGGCCCCCCGAGGGGCTCCCCCACATGTGCTCTGGTGGGGGACAGTGCAGTGGGGCCCCCGGCTCTGTGGCCTCACCGGCGGGTGGGAATGTTGTCCCTTTGCGGCCCCTGCCCCCTGTACACGCGTACACACACACACACACACACACACACACACACGCACGCAGCCTGGGTAGGTGTGCAGGGCCCAATTTCATCCATCCATCCAGGACCCCGCCACTCAAGTCACGTTTTTATTCTGACACTGGACAGGGGGTAGGAGCCCCCCACCCACAGCACCTCCAGCAGCCAGGGAACTTTGTACCTGTCCCCAGGAGTCATGGGGGACCCCACCCCGTGCCTGAGCCCTGGGGGCCTCCTGAGGAAGACGAGAGGGGGGTGGGCTGCGGGGCAGGTGGGCCCGTGGCTGCATCCAACGGGGAACAGGCACAGGCTGAGCCGTTGCTGTCATAGCTCCTTCTTGCAGGAGCCTAGGGGTGTAAGGAGAGGCAGAGCTCAGCCCAGGCTCCCCTCCCCCTCCCCAGCCCCCCGGGGGGGCCAGTGCTCACAGGACCCCAGGCTCCCCTCCCTCCCCCCCCCCGGGGGGCCAGTGCTCACAGGACCCCAGCTGCTCCTCCAGGAAGGAGATCTGCTCGCTCAGGGAGTCCATGCGGTCCAGCCGCTGCAGGGAGTGAGCCAGCAGGCTGCTGGGGTCCTGTAGGCCCGGCTCGGCCGCCCGCGAGGCCAGGCTGTGCAGTGGGGCCAGCAGCAGCTGCAGCTGCTGTGGGAAGGGGCTGTGTGAACCTGGGCTGCCTCAGACGGGCCCAAGGCCTTGGGGTCCCTGGCCGAGAAGCCAGGAGTGGGGCCAGTGGCCTGGGAGGAAGCTTCCTAGGAGCTCCTGCTGAACCGAGGGGAGGGCAGCAGGGGAGCTTCCCCGGGGCCAGGGGTTCCCCCATCTCAGGGAAGCCCATGACCACCCTACAGGTGACAGCCACGTCGTCCCAGGCCACCCCGAGCCCCACAGTGGCATGGCCTCAGACCCGGCCTCACCTGCTCCAGTGCGTCCACCCTGGCCTGCAGCCGCCGCACCTCGTCCCTCACGGCACTGTCCACGCCTGGGGCCAGATGAGGCACTCAGTCAGGGCCGGGGACCCTGGGTCTCAGGCGGTCGGGCAGGCAGGCAGGCCCCGGGCCCCGGCGTGGTGTGCCCCATGCGCGGTGTACACCGGCGTGGTGTGCCCTGTGTGCGGTGTGCCTCTACGTAGCGTGCCCCGGCATGGCCTGCCCCGACGGTGTGCCCTAACGTGGTGTGCCCGGCATGGCCTACCCCGATGGTGTGCCCGCGGTGTGCCTGGCATGGCCTGCCCCGATGCAGTGTGCCCTGTACCCTAACGTGGTGTGCCCGGCATGGCCTGCCCCGACGTGGCGTGCCTGGCATGGCCTGCCCTGACGCGGTGTGCCTGGCATGGCCTGCCCTGACGTGGTGTGCCCTGTACCCTAACGCAGTGTGCCTGGCATGGCCTGCCCCGACGGTGTACCCACGGTGTGCCCGGCATGGCCTGCCCCGACGGTGTGCCTGGCATGGCCTGCCCCGACGGTGTACCCACGGTGTGCCCGGCATGGCCTGCCCCGACGGTGTGCCTGGCATGGCCTGCCCCGACGGTGTGCCCGCGCCGGCCCTGGTGCAGGGCTGCAGACAACGCATTATTACTCACGGTACGAGTTTGAAGTGTCACAGCGCGTACCAAAAGTAATAATGTCCCGTCAGCAGCAAGGCCGGGCCGGCGTCCTCCAGGCTGCAGGGGGCCTGTCCTCCACCCTGTCCCCACGAAGCCCCCTCGGCCCCGCGGGAGCCACCCCCGCCAGCCCTGAACCCTGGCCTCAGACTGACGACAGCGCCAACGCCGTCCTAGGCCTGGTAGCCCTCGGTGCCCACGGAGCCCCAGGGGGTGCCGCCCCACCCGCCGGCTGCCCGGGCTGAGCAACGCCCCAAGGGTTACCTGTTGTGGGGCTCGGGGCCACACTGGGGGGCCTGCGCTCGGGCACGCAGAGCCTCCCGTCGGCTGAGGGGCCGTGGCCCTTGCTGCACTGGCAGTGGTAACTTCCCGCCGTGTTGACGCAGCCCTGGGGACAGCCGCCTCCCCCAGCGCTGCACTCATCCACATCTGCCGGGAGCACGGAGTCAGACGGGGCCGCGCTGTGGCCAGGCCCACGGGCCGCCCCAGAACGCGTGTGCAGGAGAGGGGCTCCCGGGGCCCTCGGGGGCCGAGCAGGCCTCACCTGTCTGACAGGCGTCGCCCTGCCACCCTGCAGGGCAGTGGCACTGGCCGGGCTGGACGCAGCTCCCTCCGTTCTGACATGGTGGCTGGCACACGGCTGGGGGCGAGGAGGGGCATGTCACCGACCCAGGGTCCCCAGCATGCTGCGCGCACGGGGCAGCCCGGAGAGCGGGTTTGGTCACGGGCCCTGCAGGGCGGCCTCACCTGCTGTGCAGGCCCCGGGAAGCCGGCTGGTTCTCTGCCAGCCGGGGCAGCAGGCATAGCGGGGCCTGGCGGGGGCAGAGCTGCGGCGGTAAGCGGTCTTGTAGAGGGTTCTGTGGATGGGCAGGCCGGTCAGAGGGGCCCTGGGCTGTGCTCCCCCGGCTGTCATGCGTGGGGCACCCATGGTCCCCTCCCCAGGAGTCCCTGCGTGGCCGCTGGACAGGACCCTGGGCAGCCTCTCCCCCTCTGTCCGGGTGGTCCCGTCTCAGGCCCACACCCACGGAGCTGGGTGGCAGCCCTCACCGGTAGGTGCTGCAGGCACGGTGCCCATCGCAGGTGGTGAGGAAGGGCTGGTATACGCGCTGAACGAAGGATTCGGACACGGGACCCCTGGCTGCCCCGACGGCGCACACCCGGCGGCTGGGGAGGGATGCAGGGCTCAGCGGGGGAGCTCCGGGCTCAGCCGGGGGCCCAAGGCAGCACCTGCCGGATGGACCTGACCCCCTTCCTGGGCTGCCCTGCTCACCCTGGCCTGTAGACGGGCTGGGTGCGGCCCGCTGCCAGCACCAGGCACCACGCCAGGAACAGCTCCCGACCCCACATGGCTTTCGTCTGGAGGAGGCACAGCCTTGGGCTGGGGGCGGCCTGGAGACACAGAAGCCGCCATTTCTGTCTGCGGCACCAGATCCCACCCGGGCACGAGGTGCCTGGACCCCACGGGGGAGCTCAGGGCAGGACTGGCCTCGAGGGGGCGGTAGTGGACAGTCAGGTTAGGGGTGCTGCGGTGGGCGGCTGCAGTTGGAGGGTTCCTTCCACGCGGGGAGCAGCCACACTGGGTACGCGCAGGGCAGGGGAAGGAGCACCCCGCTCCAGCCTCCCCCAGCGGCGTCCCACCAGTGTGAGGACCCCCGCCTGCTTAATGGCCCAGGACGCGAGCCGCGGTGGCTGGTGTGTCCACCCCGTTCCCGGTCAGGAAGCTGGGAGCGGAGCACCCAGGGGTGCTCCAGGGGGGACGGTCTGTTCCCCCTGCCCGCCCCCGGCAGGATCCTTCTGGGACTGTTTTCCTCCAAATCACCCCCCTAGGACCCCTGAAGTCCCTCCAGAGGGACACTCTAAGCAGGGACACCCGGGGACAGGAAGCCCCTGACCACTTGGCACAGTCACCCACAACCCTCCGGTGCCAGTCGGAAGAGGCACCAAGGCACGGGCCTTTCCGGACCGGGAAAGGGCAGTGTGGCTCTGGTGGGGGTCCCTGGGCAGGGCTGGGGCGGCCCCGTCGGGGGCGGGCAGGCGCGCCGGCGCCGCCACAGCGCTGATCCGTGCGCCGCGTGACCGCTGAGGGCCCAGGGACGGAACCGCAGAGCGAGCCTCGCTTTCTGGAAGTCACGCTGTTCCCCAAGGCCCGGGAAGCCGCGGGGGCCAGGCTGGCCACCCCCTTCCCGGCTCAGTCTGGGGCGCGTCCAGGCGATAGCGCCCCGTCCCCTCCAGTGCCACCTGGGCCCTGCCGCTCCCCGCAACCCACCACCTGCACCCCACCCGGGGGAGGGTCCCCAATCTCCCGCCGGCGTCGGCACGCGGGCCGAGACCGGGCGAGCCGACGGCCGCTGGGCGGTAAACGTCCTGTCCGCCGCCCCCTCCCCAGCACGGCCCGCCCCGTGGGGGCGGGAAGGCGCGCGGCGTCCACCACCCGGCAGGACGGGGTCCCGGCCACGGAGGCCCGGCCGGGCCCTGGGGGGCGCGCGGCACCCGGCGCACTTGGAAGGCCGCTGCGTCCCCGACCCCGGCGCGGCCGTGCCCCGCGCCACCGGCCCATTCTCCGGACCCGGCAGCGGGGGGTCCCCGCGACCGCTCGGCGCCGCCGCCAGTCACGGCGGGTCCCCGGCTTGTCGGGCCGCGGGGCTCCCGGAGGGCTCCGCAGCCGGGCGGCGAGCCGACCCCTCCTGCCCGGCGCCCCCCGCGCCCCCGGGGCCCGCGCGCCCGGCTGCGCCGCACGCGCCGCACTCACCGCCGGTCCGGGGCGCGCACGCGCCGCCTCCGCCGCCGCCGCCGCGCGAGCCCCGCCCCGGGCCCGCCCCACCTGCCGGCCCCGGCCCGCCCCGGCCCCGCCCCGGTGGGCTCGCCGCCCCCGTCCGCAGATGGGGGAACTGAGGCCGCGCCGGGCCGTGCCTCCGCGAGACGCCGGGCCCTGAGCGCACGCGGCGCGCCGAGATCCGAGGGGGCGCGGGCTAACCGCCAGGCCTGAGCGCTCACTTGGTGAGCTTGGTGTCCCACAGTCGCCCCTCCTCCCACGGCTGTGTGCCTGGCCCCGTCCCTGCAGCCCCCACGCTGCCACAGGTGTCGGGTGGTGCTCACCTGCTGAGGTACCTCCTCATTCCCTGGACGCCGGTGGCTGCTGCTCCTCTCGGCGGTGGGGGCCGCCCCCACGTCCCCTTCCGAGGGACCTGCAGGCCAGAGGTGGGAGAGCCCTGGTCATTGTGCTGTGGGCACCTATAGGGGCACGCAGGGTCTGGGCCTTGATGCTACTGCGGCACCTGTGCCAACAGAGCCTGTCCCCAGGCGCCCTCTCACTCCGCTGCTGTTCATAGGGCTGGGCTGGGCGCCCCTCTGTGCAATGGCTCTGCTGCCTCAGCCCTGGGCTCAGCGCCAGGTGCGAGGGTCCGCCATACAAGGGCCTCCCCTCCCTCCCTTTAGTGGCCACCAGCATGGGCCAGGGGGCCCTGGAAGCCGCCAGCAGCTGGGACACAGGGCGGCTGCTGTCCGCGTGTCTGGACCAGTGCAGGGGGAGGAGGGCTCAGGCCCAGCCCCAGGAGCTAACAGCCGAGAGGGGCCCTCCTGCCCCCGTCCGCACCCCCGAAATGTGGTCACTTCACCTTCGACACTCCCTGCCCTGTCCCTGCTTTGTGAGCAGGGCAGAGCCAGCCGAGGGCTGTGTACCGGGCCCTGCTGGACTCGGGCCTCACTCCTGCTGTGTCTTCTGAACAGCCGGGTGAGATAAGACCACAGTGGGCGGCAGGCTGCCTGCTGCAGTGGGGGGCTCCAGCCGCTCTGGGCAGAGCCAGAGAGGAGAGCCTGGGTCCCTTCCCTATCCCGGCCAGGCAGTCCCCAAACTTCCCAAAGCCGCCCAGCCGGGGCTCATCCTGGCTGCAGGTTGAATCTGGGGTTCCTTCCTGTGAGCCATCCTCTGCATGGTACACTGAGGCAGCGGACCCGTGCAGGGGGAGGGAACATCCTAACCAGCCCCGTGGGCTTCTCCTCTGACACGCAGATGTGGTCAGATGGGAGGGGGCCCAGCCGAGGCCCCAGTGCTGGAACCCAGCTGGGCTGCCCACCAGCAGGCACTGGGCCCAGGGGCATGGCACCCAGAGAGGGGACAGAGCCCAGTGCCCTTGGGAGGGGAGGCACGCAGGGTGCTCGAGCCCACCTGCCCGCCCCCTGCCCTCCAGGCTGCCCTGGCCATACCTGCTGCCTGGACCCGGGCTTGGCCATGGCCACCGCTGCTGCCACCTCGAGCCAGGTGTGGACGCCGCTGGCCAGGACCCGGAGCCCGACGGCCGCCCACCCAGCCAGCCCGTCCCGCCCGTGGCAGCCTCCATCTCAGCCAGCCAGCGGGCAACGTTCCTGCTGGGAGACTCCCCCCAGGCGAGAAAGGGCGGCTTTTATGCTCCATCCCCCGTAAATCGGGATTGGGATGGGCCCTTCCCGGCCGGACTTCCTGTGTGTGTTCTCCGCTGATAACGGGATATGTCTGCGGACAAACAGGAGGCCGGGGCAGGGGGGCAGGAGGGGTGCCCGGGTGAGGGGGGCTGGCTGGGGGTGGGGAGCCTTCCCCCAGGGCTCCAGAGGCCGGCCCTGGAGTTCCTCTCAACCTGTGTGCCGACCCCGTGGACGGTGTGGGACAGAAGACATGGGGCCGGTGGCCACGGTGGCAAGGCCAGCAGCGGGGACTTCTGGCACCTCCGGGCTTCCCCGAGAGACCTTCGAGAATGTGTGTATGTGTGTGGCACAGCGTGGGAGCCCGGAGGTCCAGGCCAAGGAAGGGCCTGGAACTGCTGCATCCCTGGCCGGTGCCCGCATGGCAGGACTCAGCCGGCAGGGACCTGGAGCGGCCCGAGGGCCGGCAGGGGGTCTCAGGCCATGCTTTGTCCCCCAGGCAAGAGCTGCCAGGAGCTGTGAGCAGGCCCCAGCCCGCCCCTCCTGGCCCTGCCCTCCTGGGCCCTCCCCTGGGCCAAGCAGGCATGTCAGTCCTTCAGGGCCACATGGGGTGCTCAGCGGATGTCTTGGCTCCAGCCCCCAGAGAGCCTCGGGGACTCACAGGCCAGCGGGCAGTAGAAGAAGCAGGGTGCCACTGGACGACCACAGAGGGAGTGCCCAGGCCACCGGACACTTGGCCCTGCCTGGCTCCCCCTTACTTGCCCTCTGCACAGCTTGGGAGCCCCCCACCCTCCTGGGGCACTGAGGACAGAGGGCAGCATCCCCCAGCCTGGGAGCTGGCAGGAGGCGTCCACCGTGGGTGCCAGGCCGTGCTTGGCCCAGAGTGGAGGGCTAAGGTCTGGGCCACCAGGCAGTGTGGGGCCCTCATACCGGTCTGCACGGGAGGGGGTTGGAGGGCTTTCTGCAGGTGCCCCCCGAGCCCCCAGCCTCCCTGCGGCGTCTGCCACTCCCTCAGCAGTCCCTGGCCTCACTGCCTTCCTCCACTGCACCGCTCGGGCCCCTTGCCTATGCAGCCCCCACCTCTCACTTCAGGGGTCTGCTGTGCCTGGGCGCTGGATCCAGACCTGTTTTGTGCAGAGGGGAAACTGAGGCACAGGAGTTCTCTGCCAAGTGAGGGCCGAGTGGGACGGGGGGGGGGGGGAATCCTCCTGTCCTCGCCCTGTCCTCTCATAGCCCAGCTCTGACATCGCCGCTGCCGACGCCCCCCTGGGGAGATGCCCCTGCCTGCTGGGAGCGGCCACCCTGGGGAGATGCCCCCGCCTCCTGGGAGCGGTCACCCTGGGGAGAACCCAGCAGGCAGCCCAGCAGGCTTAGGGGACTGCACTTGCCTTGCCTGGCACACAGAATGTCCTGGTGGGTTTCTGGGGTGGACGCTTGGTGCCCACATGGATCCCTGGGCTCACCCCCTCCCAACTGTCTCCTGGGTACCAGTGGGCAGCTGTGTGCCTTCACCCAGGCTGCCACCCACCAGCTTTGCCCAGTCCCAGCCCTTCCCTAGACCAAGCCCGGTGCCCCCCAGGACCCTTGCTCAAGACCCCAAGGTGTCACAAGGAAGCCCACCAAGGGGCTCCACCCTCCTTGGGCCCTTGAGGGTTGTGGGGCAGTAGGGGTGGGCAGAGGCAGGGTGCGTGCTGACACCCCGGGCACCCCAGAGGCTGCCACAAGTGGAGCTGGCTCTCCCCTGGACCTGAGGGGATTCCACTGGGGGCTGTGCCCCCCACGTCCCGTAGCAGCTAGCCCCACCTCCCCTCTGTTGCCCAGGCATCTTCACAGGCCCAGCAGAGAATGGAGGGACTGGGCAGTGCCCCTCCAATACCATCACTGTCCTGGGTTGTCCTGTCCTGCTGGGAGCCAGGACGGTCCACGGTGGCCAGGGAAGCTGAGCTCCAGTCCGAGCGGTCCTAGCTGCGTGCCTCAGTTTCCCCATGCAGCCTGGGGAAATGGGACTGGGCTCCGTCAGGACCCCCGGGCTGTCCACTGGCGCTCCAGGCTGGGTCAGGCTGGGAAGTCAGTGCCTTACCTTCCAGAGGTGTGGTCTGCACGGAGGAAGGGCTGCAGGAGGTGGGGAAGAGGCCCCGGGCCCCCCGTCAGCGCTGGGCCTGCTGGCCTGTGCGGCCAGTGATGCAGCCCCTGGCCCGGCCAGTGCCGGCGTCCCGGGCGGCGGGGACGGCTGTGTGAGCCAAGCTCCAGAAAGGAGGGAACCGAGCAGGCCTGGGGAGGGATTCAGGAAGCCGGCTCTGCCAGGTCCTGGCGCCCTGGCCGTCCCCTCAGAGGACGCGCCTGGCCTGGTCCCTGGGCCTTTGAGAGGGCTGGCGGGCAGGGGGCCCAGCGAGAGCCCGGGGAGCTCTGTGCCCTGAGCCAGGCTGGTCCTACGGGCGGCTTCACAGCAGGTGGGCTGGAGAGTGGGGTGTCCACCGGGCAGCAGGGGTTCCCAGCCGCCCCTCCCTCACTGCCTTCACCCTAGCAGAGTCCCCACCTTCCGTCCCCATGTGGGGCCCACATTAACACCCTGGGAGCTGGGCCCTTGCAGCGCTCAGACGAGGCAAAGCCACGTGGACAAGGCCAGTTCTTGGGACGTGGGTAGAGGGCTTAGAAGGCAGCGCCTGGCCCCTTCTCCGCCCTGGGGACCGTCCACAGCCCACTCAGGTCAGAGCCAGGCAGCTGTCCGGGACCTCCTTGTGGGTCCCCTTCCCGCACCCCCTGCCCTCACCCCGAGAGCTGGACACATGACATGGGGTCATGACCTCTGGCCGTGGCCCACGGCACTGGCCTCCCTTGCAGGTGGGGTCCGACCTCCCACAGCCCAGTTCACCTGGAATGCAGCCGGCTACTGACTGTCACACAGGGGCTGGCTTGGCCTATCCTCAGGGCCGGGAGCCTTCCCGCCCGAGGCCCCTGCTTAGCCACAGTGGCCAGGACTGCCCGTGGTCCATCGTCACGGGAGATCAGAGCTCAGCGGGCACCTGCTGGGCACCTGAAAATGTCTGGCGTGGGTCTGCCCAGCGGGAAGAGCCAGCAGGAGGTGCTCTGGGGGTGCTGGCCCAGCAGCTCCCGCTTGTGGGGTCTCCCTGCCCCTTCTCCATGTGTCAGCATCCTCTCAGGGGGAGCTGGGACAGTCAGCTCTAAAACGGGAGGGCGAGGCGGGCGGCCCTGTCTGGGAATCATGTGTGAGGAGCAGGGCTGGGGCCACCTGCCGAGGTGTTGAAGGGGTGAGCCAGGCAGAGCCCTCTGGGCCTGTACCACGCAGCCCTGCTGAGCAGGTAGGTGAGCCCCATATGGGCCAGGCACCCCATGACACCTGAGGCTCCCTGTGTGGGCCAAGTGGGGGGCAGCACCTGGCACGTGGCCTGCACGGAAGCCCCTTGTAGGGGGGAAACGCTCCTCGGGCAGCAAAGGAAGCCCGAGAGCTGGGCAGGTGACAGAGCTGGGAGTGCCCTTCCCAGGGGGCGGCAGCCGGGGCCGCTGGGGGCCTAGGGGCCTCTGGGGGCTGAGGGGCCACTGGGCACCGAGGGGCTGCTGGGGCTGAGGGGCTGCTGGGGGCCTAGGGGCTGCTGGGGGCCGAGGGGCCGCAGTTGGGGCCGCTGGGGGCCTAGGGGCCTCTGGGGGCTGAGGGGCCACTGGGCGCCGAGGGGCTGCTGGGGCTGAGGGGCCGCTGGGCGCCGAGGGGCTGCTGGGGGCCGAGGGGCTGCTGGGGGCTGAGGGGCTGAGGGGCC